GGCAGTGGCAAAGCGAGAGTGGGGGCGGCTAGCAGCCTAGATGCAAGCCAGGCCGGAGCGTAGTGGGGGTATTCTTTTTTCCTGGCTCGGGACGCCATTTATGTCACGAGTCGGAGTCCCGCATAAGAGCGTCTTCCTTACTTCTAGGGACGATTCCCTATAAACCCTCTCACTCGTTGGTAGGAGCGGTGCAGCAAGTCCGTGTAGCGCGTATAAGGGCTTATTCAGACCGAAAGCAGCGGGAAGCGAAAAGCGAGCAGCAAACAGCTTGAAACTTTACAATAGAGTTGTACCTCTTTCCAACGTATGTACACCCGGCTCAAACGATTCTGACGCATAAAAAACGTGGCTTGAGGAGAAGGCTTCCCCTACTCAGCATGCTCTTCAGTCCTACGTTATACATATACTGCGCGTCGTAGATGCGCATAGAATCAGCTTAGAATAACTTAGGACTGAAGAGTGTGCTGAGTAGGGGAAGCCTTCTCCTTAAGCCACGTTTTTTATGCGTCAGAATCGCTTGGGCCGGGTGTATGTACATACATACGCACAGGCATATTATTACTGGTCGTGATGTTAAATTGTAGCAATAAAGACTACATGCATGTAACATACAACGAGGCTATACCATGGGCTATAAACATTTCGTCTGATCCCGAATTCAAAATTTATTTCAAATATGAACTATGATGTGAAGTAGAGTTGCCATCATCTTTTTGTTATGTCGCTACTATGAAAAGTTGAACATTGTTCAAGTTTCCAAAGTCGCAGTCCAAGCATTGGAATCTACTTAGTAATGAAGTTATGTTTTAAGAGAAATTATGTGTTACTACTTTTAATGTAGTATACTTGACTCCATACACTTAATGAAGGTAAAATAACTTACTTCTTCGTATTTTCATACGATTAGCTAACATAAAAAGGCAGAAAATGTATTTTCACAGCTAAGATTCCGCTGCTCGCTTCTCGCTTCCCGCTGCTTTCGGTCTGAATGAACCCTAAGAATGTCTCGCTCACACACTCGCACCCTGCCTGTAAGAACGTCTCGCTTGAACTCACAGCTTCTATCAGCGCAACTTCCTTGCCGGTGGCGGAGGTATATTTGTGGAAGCGAGAGATGTTTTGAGTGAGACGTTCTTATAAAGAATTTCTAAAAATATGATTTTGATTAAGATTTTCGTTTGATTTCAATAAATTTAATAGGTAATTGTTACACTGAGAAAAAGGTTTGGTAATATCAAATACCCAACTGCGATCACGAAAAATTTGATTGAATCAATCAAAACGACTTTGAATTGATTAAAACGTTCTTGAAGTAATAAAACTGATATAGTTGTTTCGAAGATGTACTACACCTATCTCGATTGCACGACTGTATCAAAATCAACTAAAACGGAATTTACTCAACACTTTTTTTTTCAACTTAATCGGATATACAGTCATTGTACTGGCGGTGCATACATTTATTTCAACTGTATCTTTTATCTGATCAAGGAAATCTGATGTTGATTTGAGTAATCCATTCAATTAGGTAGAATATTATAAATTTTGAATAGATAAAATATTTTGGTCAATTTAACTAAATATTCCTACGTCGTAACAACAAAAATGTTTGGCAAGACAAATTAATATGGGGACATCGATCAGACGGTTTAGTAAACGACATCACATATGGCAATGTAACTATTATAGATTTATTTAGTAGGTCAAACAATAAATATTATTGCGCGGATCAAACGGTCGTAACGGAAATTCTCAAGAAACTCCGCAATATTATATGTGTGTTGTAACGTTCCACCCCTATACCCCCTATCCTCTATCCTTTTTCCTTCCTAATCATCCATTCTCGATGATGGACAAGTCAAGAGGTCCACATAAGAGTGCATAGTGCACTCTGGATGTGTATAACAGTATTTGAGAGAACTCCTCAAATCCTAGAATTCCTCAATAATCCTATCAACTTCTCACAGCGACGACGATAAAGGAAAGAGAATATAGAACTATTAAATCTCTAATATTGCGTAATTCCCTTGAAACTAGTCACAGCAACAGTTATGAGGAAATAATATTAGAAATTATTACCTTTAATATTCTTAAAATCCGAAACACAGTCGACCGACTGAAATCAAAACAAACAAGTGCCCAGATGCTATAAGCTGGCACGCGCCGAACACAATAGAAATACCAGTAAGCCGGTACTTCATGAAACCGCTAATCCAATTAGTCAAATCAAATAATCGAATCATATAATAAATCAAAATATTGAATCCAAAAAGCGACGTTAACGCCTCGGGAGGATAAAAATCGTTATCCTCACTACATGTAACGTATGCCTATCAAGGATATAAGCAGCGACTTCCTCGATAGGCAAATCACACGTGTCTGTCTAGACGAATCAACCAGACCCTTGTACACCACAAGACGACAAGAAGCAGTAAAAATTGTAGAAAGTTCAATTGTTAAGAAACCTGCACTCCCTAAAGAGTTCCTGCAGCAACGTCATAGTGCCGGCGCTGTCAGCAACTATCCAGAATCCACGTCACCAAAAACCTTCCAAAGTAAAGATACAGCTAACGGAGGTCATTGTGATCTCTGTGGGTTCTGACCTTTGCGATACTTATTTTCCGCTAGACCACAGTCTTCGTACGCATTGTGCACACTGCTGTATTGTGGCCCCAGCTCCTTCTTTCCGATTCCCAACTGTAAATGATTCGGCGAACGGAGATGCCTTCTTTGGGATTTATTGGACAAGCCGCTACACCGATAAGTACCGCCGAGAGCGGCCCTTCTTATTCCACGTATTCCCCTCGGAGAAGGACCGGCATAGTCGCCTTCACGGAGCCCGAGCGGAGATCGGTGGTCCAGGCGTCCGAGACGCTGGCCTGAGAAGATCTCCGATAGGGAAGAGGTTCGCCCACCGAGCTTTGTATGACCGCGGACCGCGTGGTAGTAACCCACGAGTCGTGATAGGGCAAGCTAGGAACAGTGGGGAACGGTTAACCCTGCGGCCCTTACGAAGGGCCGCGCTCGCCGTTAGAAGTTATTGTACGCATCGATCTGTACTGGCTCCGTTTTCCTTTCTAGTTGAATAAACGGATGTTAAAACTTCGACCGGGGTTTTCATTGGCGTACCCCGAACCGTTCAAATCTCGTCGCCCCTACGTTCCCCTCTATCATTTCAGCTAGCTGAGGCTGAGCAGCCGGGAGATCGCGTGGAAGCAGCCATAGGAGGAACGTCGGTGCGGAGAGTCCGCACCTGGCGCCCAACAATCCGATCTAGTTCGCATCTCGAATCGTTTTTCGGATATCAGCACGTTCGGAGTGGCCGTCAATTATTTGTCGGCTACGCCGTTAGCCGGCGTACGTCACAATACTATACAGTGAAGGTGTGAAGGGCTAAAAGGGTTTCAATCACTTAGAAAAAAAATACCTGAACAAACTTGTTAGAACACTTTATTTTATCTATGAAATAAATTTACTAATACAACGTTCCCAAATCGTCCACCGAGAGAAGGGGCCGCACAGCAAAACCCACTGCCAGGTGGCGTAATACAGCCACGGGCAACCAGAGGGACTGGTATACCCGCAAGCAAAAGTGGCTCAATGAGCCGATAAGCTCCAAACTTTCTTATAGAATTCTGAAAAAGGGACGAAGGGGCGATAAAAGTTACTAACGCACAGCACGTAGTAGTCCAGTGCATCGCACTGCTTCGATATCAAATTTTTAGAATCAACAAACTAATTTATAATTTGCCAGGAATCCATCCTCTCCTACCCCTTGAAGGCAGGGCATAATACGTTATAATAAATGACTCGAACACCTACGATATTTTCAAAAAATATATACATCATCAAGCAACATAAATATTGAATACCGACAATATTTTGTGTAGTTCAGGTAAAAGTTGTTGGTTTCACCAGGGGGTGGAAACTAAACGTTATAGACTAGCGTAGTATTCGCGCGCCATCTAAAATATGAAACCATTTATTGGAACTAAAATGGAAGTTTTTGGAGTTGAGAATTGAGTATTTTCTGTTCCCTTTGTAGAAATATCTTTTCTCATTTCATTATTCTCATCCAAATCAGTATTGGTATTTTGTTCCACAACTTGAATATTTTGCTGTCCTTTTGCGACAGTGGGAAGAACATTCCATTCAGGAACCGCTGTGTTTTGCTTATCTTGTAAATCCATGTCTATCGGGGAGGCTCTTTGGTGTCTTGGTTTCTATGAAGAACTTCGTCAATCGTGTTTTCTTCATTACCAGCAGATGTTAGATCTATCATTAATTCAGGAATAGCATCATTCTTCAATATCCGACGAACAGATGTTATGGTGTACTTGTCTTCAGCAAAATGTAATTGACAGACTCGATACTTTCTCAATTCTTCTGTTGTCAAATCCTGGAGATCCGGATTTTTTACAATATCTCGCCATGAGTTGCTAAGCCTTGCATCTTTCGAAAATGCATGTCTTAAAATAGACTTGCTGGATTTACAGCCCGGTACGCAACATCGCCAATATACTTTATATTTTGGACCTTTCTTCGTGTTACCTAATTACGTAAAAAAATGAAATGAATAATTTTAAAAAATAATAATACTCATTTCTAGTTCTGTCGATTTGTTTGTTCTTCTTTTTTTAACCTTTAAAAAGACTCAAAGCATTCTCATTTAATTAAATTAATCACCTTGTTCATAATATATCAACTCAAACATAAAACATAAT